GGACTTTAGGGATAAAATGCTAAACTAGGGTCTTTTTTTGTATTGCTGGTGATCATCCAGGTAGAAGCTGATGATGGCCTGGTGCTTTCTGCCTGGAAGAGATATCCCAGTTGTTCTGATTCCCTTCCTCACATTCGAGGCTGTGTCTGAGTTGCTCTTGCATGTCTGGTGGGTGACTCACTTGCCAATTCTGTGCTCTTTGGCTTTTGTGGGTAAAAATGAAGGCCTGCAAACCCACTGTGTTTCTCTGCTACATGATTCTCATGCTCAAAAGCTTTCCTTCTGTATTTGCAGACTAATCTTGAGGCATATCTGAGATTTTTAGCAACAGAAAGGTTTTTTTGTTTGTCCCTTCCCGAAACCAGGGACACTTCCAAAATCACAATACATATTTGTGATGAACTTTGCAGCTCCCCTGCCTGTGGACTTCCCCCCCCTCCCCCCCACCCCCAAGACATGCTCCTGCCCAGAATGGAAGGAAGGTGCTCAAAATTAGGTCGATGGGATTCAGTGGTGTAATTCAACTGACTCTGGTGTATTGTCACCAGTTGCTTTGCAAGTTTTCCTGGACATCTGAAGAAATCCTTCCAGCTTTGGACAGAATGTACAGGTCCTAGACGAACAACCACTGCTAATGCTCAGTAACCTGGTCCTTTGACATCAGCTGTGCGATAGAGAATGAATGTAGTGTAGTCCTTTTTATTGCAGTGGCATATTTTTAGGTCTGTTTCATTTTTCTGTGCAGTGTAAACATACAGTTACTTATAAGTCACAATGTCTCTCTCAGTCAAAGTTTTTTTTTTGTTTTGTTTTAAATAGTTGTCATCTCCTCTTTTTCTGGTGAGTCAGAATCCTTTGAATATCCCTTTGGTAAAAAATTTTAATTCCTTTATAGTGGGAGATCAGTTACATATTTCACCCCAGAACACAGGTAAATAACATTAAGTATATTGATTCATTTTTTTTCTCCTCTATTTTAGTCCTTAATGTGAATGCAATACTGCTGTTTACCAGTCTTTTTAAAACCATATATCTTAACATTTGCCTATATGTATTTTTAAGCGCTCACCAGGCTACTATAGCACTTTAACAATATACCTGGGTTTTTAAAGGCACAATGTCTTTTAATGGTGCTGTCTCTTAAAGGACTTTCCTGGCAATTTATTACAGTGTGGCTGGTCAAAATTGCAAGGGGTTCTTCAACTGGAATACCCTCAAGGATGAAAAAAGCAAGAGTGGTATGTCCAAAAGAGGCTCACCCTCCGAAGGGAGACGCATCAAAGACAGTCACAAGATGGAGGAGCTATTTTGTCTGCAGCCAGGATAGTCTCGATGATACTTCCAAAAATTCTGCAGTGGAAAAGGGTGTAATTTGGCAGCGGTTTGAGGAAAGATTTGCATGCAGCGCGGAGAGGCGTATGAAAAAAGATTCTTGAGTGGTATCAGTGCTTGTACACTAACCAGTGTCAGGGCCCGTTCTCTGAGGCCGACCAGGCCCTCTGTGGCCATGTCTAGACCGGTATGTTCCCCTGCCCTCCAAATTAGGTTTGCTACATCCAGACTGCCCACTGGAAGTGGCTGCTGGCCCATGCGGGCCGCTGGGCTGTGGTTAGGATGTTTTAGGAGGAGGCTGGCTGGCCCGTCCCAGGAGAGCACCAGCAGCTGTTCTAACAGCTGATCTGTAGAACTGAGCTCCTGTGCTCAGGCCCAGGGCGTGAAATAATTGCTTAAATAAATAGTGTAGCTGGGGCCCTGAGTCCTCTTCTGTCCGCAGGGGCTTGCTTCTCCCTACCACCATGTTTGCTCTCTGTCTGCCTTCAGAGATCTCTAGGGTTTTGCTTTCTGTAGGGAATTTAGACAGCCAGTTGTGGATTTTCTTCTGTACTCTGTATTTTTGCTGGTGATAGGAAGGATGTTTGAGCATGACCAAGTACAACTTTCTAGCTCTGAATCTTATGGCAGCTTGATTGAAAAACACGTCACTGTAACTGAATGAACTGGGTTTTGTCTCTACCCTCTGTGGATGAACTATGCAGTTTTATTGTTTGTAGAGTCAGGCCAAGGTCTTCTGCATCTCTCTCCTCTCACTTCATTTGTTAAACCTACTGAATTTAGTACCTGTAATCAGTTTACGCCAATAAGCCTCAGATACTAGCTGAATAAAATGACTTGGAACCAGCTTCCCTGAACAAAGCAGCACTGATTTTGCAAAAGGAACATGAGTACCTAATAGGTTAAAGCAAGTAGCAGCCTTCTGCATGCGTTTCTTTAGCTAGGATAAACTTTTGAGGTAATTTGCGTTCACTGGCTTGAGAGAACCCACCTTTTCCTGTGCTTCCCTGCATCCATCAGCCCCTAGCACCCATCACAGCAGCCTCTCCTACACACACGGTTCCCTCCCTTCCGTCCT